CCATTTGATAGTAGCTTCTGAATTGTCTAGCAGTATTGTTAAGTTGGTAGATACTGATATTTCTTTTTGTGAATTTCACCATGTTGATAATATTCTCTTAAATTACTCTAGTATATACGTAATTGTAGTGGTTTATTGTATTGGTTAATAATTGCATTCTCTACTATGTTCTTGATCTGTTTATAGTTTAGTTGAAGTGGAGTTGAGCATCTGGTAGTATTTCTTTATTGCAGTTAAGTAAGATAAGATTCTTGAATCCTCTGGGTTTGGTGGTTAATAGCAGGTATAATTGTTTCATTATGTTTTTGTAAGTGTTTTGTCAAGGCCTTTTTATATATCACTCTTACAACTCTTCCCTTCTTAAGAAAATAGCATCTACACTATTTCTGTAAGGACTTGTAATAATTTTCAAGTACTTTATCTGTATTTGTTAGATTGCTAAGCAGTTCCTATATTGAATCATATAGGGGATATCCTTTCCACTTAATTAGGTATTGCAATGTTGATCTGTTGTCTTGTTTAGTAATCTGTTGATCTAAGATTTCTTCTACTTCGAATTCTTCTATATTATTAACCAAAATTGGTACAAGTGGTATAACTTGTTAATTCAGAAATAGATCATCATTATTTGGTATATAATGTTTCAGTAAGAATATATAAAATACAAGGTAGATCCTTATTATTAATAGTAACTCTAATTTATAAGCAATAGCTGATATTTTTATAATAATCTTGAATGGTCTGAAAAACTTATTCTATAGTTTCTTTGAAGGCTGATTAGATAATTATCACAATGTAATATATCTTAAGGACAATAAGACCATTTCATCTATATTAAATAATTTTTTATACCTTTTTTCATTTGTATATCTTGTTTGTTGTAGTTGTACTTTATAAATTGCATCTTGTGCCTTAGTCAGTAGGTTAGTCATCTATATAGTGAAGTCATTGATAGCTTATATTATTGATTCAATCTTTTCTAGTAAAAGAGTTGCTAGTGTCAGTGGATAATAGCTATAGTTCAGAAAAAATGGTGATAGTTTTGTTAACTTTTGCTGTGCATTGTTGTATGCAAATTTGGTGATAGTTAAGTGTTCATCTCAGTCATTCTATTGATAGTTAACATAAGTTCTAAGCATTTGTTCTAATATCTAGTTTATATATTCTATTTATCTATCAGTCTGTAAGTGAAATATAGTTAATAGTACTATTTTTGTTCTAAGTATTTTAAATAGTGATTGCCAAAAATTTCTTGTAAATTTTGGATCTCAGTTATAGATAATAATTCATAATAGTCTATGTAGGTGAAAAATATTGTTGAAAAATATTTTTGCTATATTAGGTACAGTATTGGTTATTTTACTTGTAACAAAGTGTATTTGTTTGCTGAGTCAATTAATGAAGATGGTTATTGTATCTTTTCTAGATGTTGTTTTCAGTAGTTGGACAATGAAATCTATACTAATTTGTTTCCATTTCTCAGCAGGTATAGGTAGTGGTTATAATAATCCAATAGGTGATTGTCTAAGTATTTTATTATATTAATAAGTGTTATAAGAAGCTATAAAGCTCTTGGTGCTTGTAAATATTTTTGGCCAGTAAAAGTTTCTGGTAAGTGCTTCATAAGTCTTGTTAAATCCAAAGTATTCTGCTAAGGGTACGTTGTGATGTTCTTGGAGAATCTTGATATGAAGGTTCAGTAATATAAAGAGTCAATCTTCATAGTAAAAATTGTTGTTTCAAATCTTGAATTTATTTGTAGTATCTAGGTTGGTATTAAGTTTATCTATAATTTTTTTTGTATTTTTTTATCTACTTGAACTTCTTCTTGAATTTCTTATATCCAATTGTCTGTGATTTTGATGATAGCTTTGATTTGTTCTTTCTTTTGTTGTTATTAAGATAATATATCTGCTATAATATTAAGTTTACTAGATTTGTAAATTATTTTAAAGTAATAGTTGTTGAGGTAGTCCATCCATTATGCTTGTCGAGTGGAGAGAGTTAGCTGTTTGTTCAGATATTTGAGTGATTTATGATTAGTATAGATCAAGAATTTATTGCTTATTAGATAGTATCTTTAAGCTTATGTTGTATTAATTATTATAAGTAGTTCTTTTTTATGAATAGAGTAATTTTTTTCTGCAGAGGATATTTTTCTTGAGTAGTAGGCAATAGGTTGATCTTCTTATGAGAGTACAGCTCCAATTGCATAATCTAAGGTATTGGCTGTTACTATAAATTGTAGATTCTAGTCTGGACTTCTAAGAATAGGTGCAGTTGTTAACTTTTTCTTTAAGGTTTTAAAGACTATGTTATAGTTTTTGTTTCATTTTTGATTAACATTTGTACCTGTAACTGTTAGATTATATAGGCATGCTACAATTCCTGTATAATTCTTAATAAATTTTTAGTAATATCTTGCTAATCTTAAGAAGGATTGTATTTCCTTGATTGTTGTTAATTTCTTCTATTTCTTGATTACCTTGATTTTTACAAAGTCAATTAAAATTCCTTGTTCATTGATTTGGTATCCAAGGTATATAACTTCTTTTTGTAAAAAATTATACTTGCTGAGTTTTATATATAGCTAATATTTCCTTAATATTTTGAGTATTTGGCAGAGATGTTGTAAGTGTTCTTCTTTAATCTTGCTATAGATTAGTGTATCGTTAATGTAGATAACTACAAATTTATCGAGTAGTGATCTGAATATATCATTCATTAGTCCTTGGAATGTCGCAGGTGCATTTGTCAGTCCAAAAGGCATGACTTTGAATTTGTAATATCCATATTGAGTTCTGAATACTGTTTTTGGAATATCTTCTTCTGCAATGCAAATTTGGTGGTATCCTGATCATAAGTTGATAACTGAGAATATGATTGCTCCTTTGAGTCTGTCAAATAACTTTATAATATTCAGTAATAGATATAAACGCTCAGAAAATGAGGTTGTAAGGTTAAAATAAACAAATTCCAAGCCACAAATTTGCGATTTTCATTTTTTTTTTTAAAAAAAATAAATGTTATTATAAAAAAAGATGAAAATCAAAAATCTCTCTGTTATGTTATAGTTAGGTAGGTCCTCTATTGGTATATAGTTTTATTTTTAATTATTAATGCCATTCCATAGGAATAGAAGCCGTTCGATTATAGACAAGGTGCACTATAGGATAAATGGAACACTCTTCGAAAGAAGAACGTCACGTGCGGCGAAAATAGCCACAATGACAAGGTTATAGTGAAATAATAATCACCCCGCAACTAGCACGCTTGCTTATGCCATGCAACGAGAAGGAGTCATCATCTTATTGAGCATTGCAATGAGCATGATCAATAGCTTTACGAGCAACAAGACTAACGAAGTACATATGACATACGGCTCGGAGACAATATGAAGTGAAGAAACAAATAGACTACTCGAGTTGAAGGGTAGAATAAAAGAAGGAAAGACTATATAAGAGGAAGTGGGCCGTTTTATTACTGTATCATTATTTCCGCGAAGATGCTTTTCTTGCAACTCAGGCGTGTGTGATTGACATATTCAATTTTTTTATTTTTATTTTTAATTTACATATTCCACTTTAGTGTTGCGTGGTTAAGGATTGATGGGTGAACGAGTAATCAGAGCCGTCTCCAATGCATCCATCTCCACCGTCTAGAGTTCGCCAAATATTTCAAGTGACGGTGATAAAGGATGATCCTGAATCTTGCTAAAGTTGCAGTTAGACTTTCGATTCTTGCACCGCTCGCAAAGTGGACCTCCCGTGCATTTCTGCTTGCTCCTGCGGCACTGATCGCAAGCGTGGTTGACACGTCGCCTGGTTTGTCTCGGCTTTTTGTGCAGCCGCTCCACTGTGAATGTTTGAGAGATCTTCCAATCATCATACACCCACTTGAGAGTGTGTTCGCTGCTCGAAATAGAGTAGGGACGATGATCTGAAAAAGGTCGGAATGCAGACGTGCCTTGGGGTACCAATGGTGGCAATATCCTCACGCTTGAAGGGGATGATTGAAGGTTGTCAGTTCTAACGGTCCGCGATGGCATGGTTGGAGTTTGGTCTGAGAAGTCGATATCCGTAAAGGCAGATAAATCATATAAGGCAATCAGCTGATCATGACTGGATTGGACTTGGCATTCCGTGGTTTGGTGGTGTAAACTAGAGTCGAGAAAACTGTAAAATAAATAAATAAATAAATAAAATGAAGGGCTAATTTGCGTGTTTGTGGATATTAGCATACTAACTTTATCACCGACGCCATCTCTTGGTCCTCAACATCGTTGGTAGGAATATTGGCGCGGCTAGAAAAAAAAAAAATAGGAGGAAATAGCGGTCGTTGTGGCTTTGTGCTCAAAGATTCTGCGTCCCCGCAACCCTTCAATCATTGGAGTGGACAGTGTCCAAAATACGCACGTTGAGTACAATTCCATCCCGAGGTCATCAAAACAATTGAGCATGGTATCATTGCTTCCCGGAAAAGTCGTAATGGGCAGGCTGTTACAAGATGTATGAAGTTTTTAACTTGGTACGGAATAAGGTTATTAGTGTAGGTGAACACATACCTCATATCCAAACCGAGAGACTCTATATCCAGGAGAAACTTTGCAACGTCGAAGATGTTGTCCATGTAAAGTATGCTCGTGTATTGGAATTGTGTTGGCCTTTGACAATTTCGTGTTGACCAGAAGCCTAAGCGATAGAAATTCCGAACCGATAAATATTCTTGGGTTTTTATAAGGAAGAGATATCACATAGTTCGTTGGATCAGTCAGGAACGGGCGATGTCGCCAGGTCGCTTCGGGAACCGTCAGTATTCTGATTGGACGCAAAGGACGTTGCTGCCACCTCCGACTGAACTTTGGATTCCGACAGCTTGGCTCGTATAAGCCATTTTGGTTAGCCAAAGACGAAAGTGGCGCAGTAGGCAAAATAAAATAACACAGAGATTGTAAATAAGTAATCTGGTATATATATATTCTTATATTAAGATATCTGCATGCTGGCTTAGTGTAGCGGTTATCACGTGTCCTTTACACGGACAATGTCGCAGGTTCGAACCCTGCAGCTAGCATAAAATTTTTAATTTTTTTTTTCGTCAAATAAATAAATAAAAAATACCACACTTATTTTATTTTTTTTGTATACAATAAATTATTTTAAAGTTTTATTCTTTGCCCTCCGACTTTACGCCTATTGTAGTTCCGGAATATTGTAGAACAGTTGCAGGCTATCCGGATTTATTAGTGTACCAGAAGGTATAACGGTCTGGCCCGAGATGATTTTCTACATTCACGAGGGTTTTAATTAAATTTAAAGATGATCTCCCCTCAAAAAAAAAAAAAAAAAAAAAAAAAAAAAAAAAAAAAAAAAAAAAAAAAAAAAAAAAAAGTTTTAAGACGCGTACCTTAACAGCCACCTCAACCTTTTTGCCATTGATCGTATACTGTGAATTCAACGATGAAATGTCGTACGTAAATCAGCATGAACCCATTCACAAGATCAGCAAACATCGATAGCTTGCGGCACTCACCGGAATATCCTTAGTTTCCAATACAAATGCCGGCACATGCCTTGCGCTCAACTCGTTCCTAATCTTACTCTTGATCTTTTTCACTAAATCCGCATCTAACGTCCTTCCTTCCTTCATCTTCAAAAACAACACGACCCTCTCGTCTTCTGTCCCAACGAGTTTCTGTCCAACACACAGCGAGTCTTCGACTTCGGCCGCGAACGCGCCGACGATGTTGTAGATCTCGGCGCTTCCGAACCGCACACCCGCCGGGTTGAGCGTTCCGTCTGATCGACCCAGCATCACCACGCCGCCCGTGTGCGGATTAATCCATACAAAGTCGCCGTGATACCACACGGAAGGGTAAACCATAAAGTAAGCGCCCATATATTTCGCGCGGTCGGGGTCGTCGTACATGTAGACGGGCATACAAGGGAAGGGGACCGTGCAGACGAGGTCGGCGGATTGGGCGTAGACAGGTTTGTCTGGAGGTGAACCGAGTACGAAGGGCCGGACGTGATTGTAGAGAAAACAAGATTGTACACAAGACAAATGAGGAGACGACACAAATGACAACTCCTCTATTAGGCCAAAATCATTCAAAACTTACCCTGTCTCTCCCACGCCTCGATCCTCATTCCTAGACACCTGCATTGAATCTCTCCCCTGTACACGGGTAGCGCGGCGTTGTGCCCCGCGAAGAGTGAGCATATATCAGTTCCGCCCGTAATGCTACCCAGCAGAACGTCCGCCTTGATCGCCGAGTACACGAAATCGAACGATTCATGCTTGAGAGGGCTGCCCGTCGAGTATATGGCACGTAACGTGGAGAGATTATGATGCTCGTCTGTGGAAGAGAATGCACACACGTCTGAATGTGGGAGTAAAAAGGTGATGAAGAGGGAGGAAAATATAGAAGTTGGCTTACTAGGGCGATAATTGCCGTCTTCGAGGGACTGAATATACTTGGCGGAGGTACCAAAGTGAGTGATGCTGGCCGAAGCAAGGGTCAAAAAA